CGCTTTTGTGACTCTTAATATATGTGAGAGTGAATTTGAGGTGCGGATCCATGAATTCTGTTCGCAAAACAATTTTTTTCCTTTCCTGAAATGATACTTTTACGTTATTTCTGTCATGGGGTTGCTCCATGATATAATTTTTTATGATATCATGCGGATTGTGATACTGTGTATAAAGAAACAAATATTATATCAAGATGAATTAATAATCAATTTTCTATTAGCTCATACGGATGAATTTAAAAATTATGTCCGGCAAATTAAAAATATCTTTTGAAAAAAAAACCATCAATTTCAAAGGTCATTTTTTTATATACCAGCATACTCTATATAAATTCAAGTCATAATTGGATATTAACAAGCGCATAAAAAATTAGATTTTCATTGGAAAAGAAAATATTTCTGCTTAATTGTGTGAGGAATAAAAATAATTAAATCTAGCAATTTTTTATGTTTCCGTTAATTTGCACGAGGTATTTTGTAATATAGTTTATTCGAAATATAACTTTGGGCAATGCATGCAGCAAAATAACATATATTAATACAAAAATAATGACTCTCAATGACTTTAAATTGGGGTGTAAACCCTGGTCAAGGGTTTTTCAGTCCCACAGTTCCACTTATTTTATAGTATATAATACTAATATGAATTGATATTGAATAAAACAGTAAAATACATAATCATTTATAATTTGATATAACAAAGTCATTTTAAGACAGTATAAGTGGAAATTTCTATTTAAGAAAGTCAATCTGCAGTAATATTGTCTTTTCCAATGAAAATGTAATAAAAATTTAACATTTTTATGCATTTGCTTATCCCATTGTGACTTGAAATTATATAGCATATGTTGGTATATAAAAATATTCATGATTTTTTTTAGAAAGTTTTTTTTTTAATTTGCCGGTCATAATATTTCAATTCATCCATATTTGCTAATAGTAAATTGATTTTAACTTAATCTTGAAAGTAGATTTCCCTATAAAACTTTAAGCGAATATCACTGGTAAATCTAAGACAGAACAAATATGTTTTTGCGAACAAAGTTCATCGATCCGCCTCTAAACTTCACTCCCATTTATATAGCATAAAGCGGAAGTGATGCATCCACAGCCTGGTGTTATCCTTTGTATATATTGGTAGGAAGGCTGTGTTTATCTGACTTTTTATCTAAAGACAAGGTTTTTTTCCTGAAGTTATCTAAAGAACCATTCTTGATGGTTACGGAATATAATATTTACTACTGTACGGACATCAAACGTGAAATGGTGAGCGCAGGTCTAGTTTAGTAAGTGAGTACTGCACATGATGACTAAAAGACTGTGAACAAACATCAATTATAGATTTTTATCGTTATTGTGACATTATTAGAAGATTTTGAGGAAAACACGACAATTCTTTTTATACATGGGACTTTTTACACAACCTGACTTGACAAGGTCTGTATGAATAATATAAGGGCCTAGGATAGGACTTGGACTACTTTGACTCATGCACAAATAGGTCAATATGTGCGCCGCTATAGATCTATTCTACTTTCTAAATTCAATACACAAACTTCAAGACCCTAACTCATATCCAAAATATCAAAAAACACTAACTAAAAGCAAAGTAAATAAAGAAAACATTAGCATCTAACTTAAGATATATGCACATATTATTGTTAAGGTCTTCCGTTTCCTACGGAAGACCTTATTGTTATTCTTCGGTTTCTTTTTCCCTATTATTATTATTATTATTCCAACCGATTTTGTGCACGCGATTTCTCAGAAACGGCTCGGTCGATTTACATGAAATTTTCATATGTAATAGCTAATCAATCTCTCTTGATACGTTTTCAAGCGTTTTCATGACGTCACTTCCGGTCGTGAGATATCGACAATTTTCTAATTTTGAAATGCAATTTTGTCTTGATTTAATAGCGAAAACTGCTTAAGATATGAACTGAAGATTAATTTGAGATGATAGTTCATGATTTATAGCGTTGCAGAATCGCCTTTTCATGCGTCGTCATCACTTCCGGTCGGTTCCGGAAGCGAATTTAAAAAACGCAATTTTTCAACTTTTTTTAAAAAATATTTTTGTTTTTGATTTGAATAGAGCCCTTTTGCAGAAGCGAAATATGTAATTTGTTTGAAAATCGAAAAAGCTAATCTTGAGATATTTGCATTTGAAAACGCGAAGCGGCGATCTCAATGGCCAAATGCTTTGCGCGTTGGATTGTCACGCGGGTGACCCGGGTTCGATCATCCGTGTGACCAAAAAATTTTATCACTTTTTCTGCTCAATTTTTCGATATTTTTTTATTTTAGACCATTTGGAATAATATATTTTAAACTTTTAAGCATATCTTGCGTAATTAGGGGTCACTAGGGGTCAGAATGTCAAATTTTTGACGCTTTAAATTTCGAAAAGGGGGAATATTTTGATAAGCAATATTGAACAAAAGATGGCAAGAATAATGTTCTTAACAATATGCATACTTTGAATTTTCGCAAAACGGCCCCCATTAAGGACTTGTAGAAGTGGCCCCTAAATATTTCAATTTAGCATATCTCCAAAACGAATAGAAATCTCTGAATAAGTGTTGAACAATAAGTCTTCAAAATCACAAGACCTTTCATTTCATATCAAGAAAAAAGGGCTGACCCCTCAAATTAGGAACTCAGAGGGGCTAAAAGTCTTTTATCTATAACTCTCTAATGATCAATATTTTGTTATACATGACTGAAGCAAAAGTATTTATCTGAACGATTTGCAACATTATATGATAAAATTTTGATCATATGTTACGTAATTAGGGGTTACAAGGGGCGAGAATGTCAAATATTTGACTCTTTATATCTCCAAAAGGGGGAATATTTTGATATGCAATATTGAACAAAAGATGGTCACAATAATGTTCTAAACAAAATGCATACTTTGAATTTTTATAAAACGGCCCCATTAGAGACTTGTTGGAGTGGCCCCTAAATATTTCAATTTAGCATATCTCCACAACGAATAGAAATCTCTGAATAATTGTTGAACAAAAAATCTTCAAAATAACAAGTTCTTTTGCTTGATATCAAGAAAAAGGGTCTGACCCTTCAAATTAGGGGCTCAGAGGGGCCAAAAGTCTTTTATCTATAACTCTCTAATGATCAATATTCTGTTACACATTACTGAAGCAAAAGTATTTATCTTTACAATTTGCAACAATATATGATACAATTTTGATCATATATTGCGTAATAAGGGGTCACGAGGGGCCAGAATGTCAAATATTTGATGCTTTATATCTCGAAAAGGGGAAATATTTTGATGAGCAATATTGAACAAAAGATGGCCGGAATAATGTTCTTTTACAATATGCATATTTTGAATTTTTTGTAAAACGGCCCCATTAAGGACTTGTGCGGGGTGGCCCCTAAATGTTTCCATTTAGCATATCTCAATAACGAAAAGAAATCTCTGAATAAGTGTTAAACAAAAAATCTTCAAAATCACAAGACCTTTCATTTGATATCAAGAAAATGGTGCTGACCCCTCAAATTAGGGGCTCAGAGGGGCCAAAATCTTTTATCTTAACATTCATATGATCAATATTTTGTTATACATTACTGAAGCAAAAGTATTTATCTGAACGATTTGCAACAATATATGATACAATTTTGATCATATGTTACGTAATAAGTGGTAACAAGGGGCCAAATTGATATATTTTTTATGCTTTACGTCTCGAAAAGAGGGAGTATTTTTATAATCCATATTGAACAAAAAATAATCAGAATATCGTGATAAAAAACAGAAACTTTAAAATTAATGAAGGAAAACTTATTGTCATTCTCTTTTAACGAATATCTCAGTCAAAATCACATCTAATCTTATCAAGAAATTCAACGGAAGACCTACTCGTTGCTCGCAACGAGATCTCATCTAGTTATTATTATTATTATTATTAATAAATGAATGCTTAATAAGTAAAAAATAGTTTTAAAAATATAATCAATGTCATGAAAAAAAAATCTTTAAAAAAACTATCACAAGGAGACTTAGTCGCTACAAAACTTTATTTGATTTGACCATATTGTCTTATTCAAGTTTCCAGCAACAGTTTAGCGATCTGATTTTTAAGATTAAAACTTATGTATGTAATACATTCCTGGACATTATGTTAAAACATAGTTCTTGTAACACTAGTTAACAGCCTAGCTGTACAAGAAAATAACAAGACTCTCTAAATCATGTTAATTGTAATAATTTCATTATTTTTTTTAGAAAAGCGTAGATTGAATACAATTCTCCTCTACCATGTCTACAGAGGAGACAACAAATGCGTGTAGAGCGTGTCGACTTCTCCTGGGTCCGTGTACAGATCAACTGAGGGATGTTTTACGTCGTCATGTACCGCCGTCGACATTTCAACACGTCATTGTACAAAAGATAAGTAATCTACCTCGTCTGACAGTGCCACAGTTAAATCTTATTTTACCTCGTGGTAGTACTTATGCTGGAAATTATAGTGATATGGATATTCCTTTATTGAATATACTGCTTAGAAACATCTGTGGCATACCACCACACAATAATGGTTGGGGCAATGACCCAGATCCTACGGACAGGTCTCTCTCTGCCAACATCGAGAGGATTTGCATCGCTAGAAATCATTGTCTAAATCTTTCCAGCCCAATACTTTCCAATGCTGATTTCAACACCATCTGGTCCACTGTTAGATCAGCAGTTGTGGATCTTGACTCTTTCCTTAACAATGGAAATCATTTTGAAAAAGAGGTGGATTTTTTGAGACATGAGACAATGGACCCTGTTGATGACCATCACTACCTTGAAGAATTGAGAAACCAGGCTGAAGAAAATATAGCATCAGGAGAAATAGTGGACGGACTTAAACGTGAATTTGAAAACCTTACCTGAACAAAAACGAATATTTTTAAAACTACTCAAACCATTTCTGCAAGTTACTTCTTTCTTTAAATTTTTTTCATAATTTCAGGTAAACTAGAAGAGAGAGATACAGATCGAATTGAGAGTCAAAACAAAATGCTGAAAATTATTGGTAAGTATACTATTTTCTTAATTAAGTAAATTTAGAACACTACCCCCAAGGGGCCTAGGAGTTTTGTCCAAAATTATGTAGATTAATGTACTACAATATTACTGTATACATGGTTATTTTCGCCCTTTTGCAATTGCGAACTATTTTGCCCCGTTTTAAATTCGCCCAGTAATAGTTTTGTATAAGAAATTATGCTGTGTAATTTAAATTCGCAAAGTTTTAAATTCGCCCAATAAGGAACAAGGCGAAAGGGGCGAAATTTTCCCTGTATACAGTAATCCTTTTTACTGTTGGACATCAAGCAATCAAATTTTCAGGATGATACCGGGTAGTAGTTTTGAATTGACTCATAGTAATAGTAATTAATTCTCTTTGTACTTGTGTGATTTTTTTTAAAGTTATATTCTTTTCAGATGACATATCAATTGCAGCTGTTCCCCCAAATGTGAAAGGTATGTGGATCTGGTTAAAATAAATGTAAATCAAACGTGTGTGAAGGCACCAAAATGTTCTTCAGCTAAACATATACTTCGTATCAATAAATGAAAACAGTGATAAGAAAATACTTTATTAAATTTAGAACAGAGAAATACTTTTATTTATTGAGTAAAAGGGATATTTTTGCATAAAAAAAGGATGATCAAAGTTTTACTTTGGAATTTAAAGGAAAATCTTCAAAACTTTTCTTCTCAAGAACAGGAAAGCTACAATGGATATATTTATGTGGAAGCATCCTCGTGTAGTGTACTTAACAGTTTGTACAAATCAGAACGTTTTGAGGCAGGTTGGGGCCACAATGGATGATCAAAGTTTTCATATAGCTAAAGAATATATTGGAAAATGTTTTGAAATTACTCACAACTAGAAAAGGTCATATTTACTTTTAATCAGTCTCATTTGTTGTTGATTCAAGTTTTTTGTTCAAATTATACCCAAGGAGGAAGAGTAGGGCCACAAGGGACAATCAAAGATCTACTATAGAACTATGATTAGACATTTATATTGAATCAACCTCAGGTAATGTAGATTCTAGGTTGTTCAAATAATGAGACCCGGGATAGAGTGGAGCTACAATGGATGATGCATCTTGAATCTTGGGAGAATGTCAACCAGAATGTAGGTCATCGAGGCCTACTTTTGAAATGTTATGACTTTTAAATTTGTTTAAATATCCCAGGTATCCGAAATATCATTATTATACCTTAATATAAATATTCTAAAAATATTCTAAACAACGCATTATCTGATTGGTTCTAAGTTGTCATGTGATCGGGCCATAAAACTTTATATTTCCCGGCCGTCGGCACGCTTTTCATCATATTCCACCTCTTCGGAACACCTAGTGTATTTTCCCGCAATATAGTTCTTGTTCGTTGAACGAAAACTCCCGATAGAAGGAGACGTCACAATAGCCTGGTTGACGTCACAAAACTGATGATAATGTATTATAGTAACTTTACGTAAATGAATTTGAGAGAGGTGCCGAATTTGAAAGTTTTTGTTTGTTTTTGTTTGTTTCAAAGGTTTTGCTTGTTTCGGTATAATAAACAATTCATTGCATGAATGTTCGGGAAACATGAAGACTTAATTAGCCAAGAAATATCATATTCCCCTCGATTTTTTTTTTGCTGAATAAGTCTTCATATTCCCTCACTATCATGCAATAAATGTATAATATACAAGTCAAATTCGAATTTAGTCGTGGTCTGATGATTTTTGACAGAGTAATCCCTCAAGCTTAGAGGAAAAAATTCTGTTTCCTCTCTGTGGCGTTTGTAGGGAAATGTGTATATAGTTGAAATTGCATATACAGCTATTCTACCAAATGATAGACGTCAAGTTTGAATTTGGTCAAGGTCAAATGATTTTTTACTGTTATTCACGTTCAATCTAAAAAAAAAATATTAAATAATTCACATTTTCTAATCTTATCTCACCTACAAATGTAGATTTGCAGTTTCTGTTTATTGTCTAACCTATAAATGCACATTTGGAAATTTAGGTTTCAAAGAAATTTCAATATAAATTTCATTCTTTTGAATGATTTCTATCTGCAGCTATTCATGAGATTGATATGTTACAATGGAAAGAGGATGACAAAGTTTACTATGAGTCATACAAATTCCATGAAATGCTGGAAAAAGTGAAGAATCAGACTCATGTGACATTTGTTGGAGTCCCAGGATCTGGGAAAACAGCAACAGCTCGTCACATCGCCCTGATGTTACAACAGGAAGGATATGAGATTGTACCCATCAGAGACATCAGAAAGATAGAGGACTATTGTGATCCCAATAATCCACAGGTTTTTGTTTTAGATGATGTGGTAGGTGTATTTGGACTTGAAAAGACAAAATTAAACCTTTTGCATGATTACCAAGATAGAATAATGACACCTGTTATGTCAAAGTCAAAAACTATCATGACATGTAGAGAAGCTGTATATAGAAAAACAATTGAGTCAAGTTCATTTTTTACAGATCAAAGCAATATTGTTCTGTTACACAGTGAAAAATTTGCTTTAACTAACACTGACAAAACTAACATATTGATAAGATACAACATAGATGTAGGTCTGTTGTCTCCAAGTTTGACTTCAGTATCAAGAATGTTTCCCTATCTGTGCAAATTATTTTCATCAGAAAAGAAATTCCAGTTGTATGGGTCAGCATTTTTTAAAAATCCAGTGCCATGCATTTTGAAGGAACTTGAAGAAATGAAAAAGCAAAACAAAGTCCACTATGCTTCTCTGGTTTTATGCACGATGAATGAAAACAAAATTTCAGAAAAATTCCCAGAAGAAATAGAAAAGAAAGCAATGTTTCAAAACTTTAATGAAATGAAAAATAATGTTCTATTGAAATGCAAACTTAGCAGGCAAACTGATAATTTTAGATTTGTTGATGCATTGTCACATATGAAAGGGACATATACAAAACTCTGTGATACTGAATACAGCCTTGTGCATGATTCCATGTTTGAAATCGTTGCCTATCATTTTGGTTGTCAGTTTCCAGAACTGATTTTACAATTTATGAGCAGTAGCTATATTGCTAACAATGTGAAACTTCAGAAATATGAAAATCAGGAGTTTCTAAATAAATATAAAAATGAAAATTCATTAAGAAGCAGATGTGAACAGGTGGAAGAGGATGTTGCATTCAGTTGCGAAAGCAAGGTTGGCATGGAATCATTTGATCTCTGTATAAGGTTAACAGAGGATCAGTATTCCTTATTAGCAGAACGTTTATATAAAGATGTAGAAAATATGGAACTGTTTAACGTTTTCACTAATAACGTTTTAAAACAGCGTAAGGTGTGCAAAGCTTTTACTGAAGTATTAAAAAGAAAGCCTTACACAGAATTAAAATCTCTGTTTCTATTGGAGCAAAATGATGCGTCCAAGGTAGTAAGTATAGGTGAATGTGTAATACGAAAGGAGCATGAGGAGAGGGATAAGGCGATGAATGAGTTTCACAGACAGATGGTCTTGATAAATATGAGAAAGCCACCCCTAAGAAAACGAACACACAGCGTGAGGGTGATCAGTTGGGTGGTTTATTACGGACACAGTGAGATTTTACAATACATTTTTGAGCAAACAGAACGACACAAAGAGACACAATCTAAAGTGTTTTTGAATCCTTTTCATCCTGCGTTAAGCTTTATAATAAAGAAAGGCGAGAAGATCACTGCAGCAAACAATGAAACAGACAATTTATGTCCTCTGAAACCATGGAGTGATTCAATAAATCAATCTGTTTGTGAACAACGTCGCTTACTCATATTGAGTTGTTACAGTGGGGATTTAGAGACTTTTAAAATATTTATCAAACACGTCAATCTAGATAAAATCATCAGGGAACATGAACATTCACACTTTGATGAGATATGGAATGACACACCACTTGCAGCAGCATGTGAGAGAGGAGAAATCAGTATAGTGAAAGTGCTTCTGGAAGCAGGTGCTGATGTTAATCCACAAAGTATGCATAAAACACCACTTACAGCTGCAGCCGAGAGTGGACATACTAATGTGGTGAAGGAACTTCTAAAAGCAGGGGCTGATGTGAATCCACAAGATAAATATGATATTCCACTGACAGCAGCATGTAGAAAGGGGCATTTGTGTGTTGTTAAACAGCTTCTAGATGCGGCGGCTGATGTTAATCCAGAAAGTGCAAATGAAACACCACTGACAGAAGCATGTTTTGGCGGACATATAAATGTCGTAAAGGAGCTGGTTAACGCAGGGGCTGACGTCAATGTACACGGTTTAAATACACCTTTGACTGAAGCATGTGAGAGTGGACAAATAAGTCTAGTGAAGTACTTGTTAGAGATCGGAGCTGATGTCAATGGTTTATCTAATCAACCACTCAGAACAGCATGTAAGTGTGGACATTTAGATGTAGTGAAAGCGTTGCTGGCTGCAGGGGCTGATGTCAATCTACAAGATCATAAAGATACACCGTTAACAGAAGCCTGTAAGGAGGGACATATGAGTGTCGTAAAGGTGCTGCTAGAAGCAGGGGCTGATGTTAATCTGAAAGGTTTATTTTATACACCATTGACAGCAGCATGTGAGAAGGGACATTTCAGTCTAGTGAAGGAGTTGCTACAGGTAGGGGCTGACGTCAATCTACAGGGTGAAAATACACCTCTGACAGAAGCATGCAAGTGTGGGCATATAGATATAGTAAAAGAGTTGCTAATGGCAGGCGCTGATGTAAATCCACAAGGTGAGGATTATACACCATTGACAGAAGGATGTAGGAGTGGACATATGGGTGTAGTAAAGGAGCTGCTACAGGCAGGGGCTGATATAAATCTTCCAGGTGCTTTTGAAACACCATTGACAGCAGCATGTGAAGCTGGACATCTTAGTATAGTAAATGAGCTGCTAAAGGCAGGAGCTGATGTCAATCCTCAAGGTGAAAATGGTTCACCCCTAATAGCAGCGTGTAAATATGGACATAAGACTATAGTGAATATTCTGCTAGAATCAGGGGCACACGTCAATCCACAGGGTACATATATCACCCCACTGACTGCAGCATGTACGGGTGGACATCTAAGTATAGTTAAGGATCTGCTATTGGCGGAGGCTGATGTAAATCTAAAAGATAAAAGTAAGACGCCTCTGGTAGCAGCATGTAGGGGTGGACATATAAATGTAGTCAAAATACTGCTGGAGACAGGAGCGGATGTCAATCCACAAGTTGAAAATGATTCACCTCTGACAGCAGCATGTTTAAGTGGACGTATGAGTGTAATGAAGATTTTGCTAGAGGCAGGTGCTGTTGTTAATATAAAGGACAGTTTCGGAAGAACTCTTTTATATCAGGTTATTTTATTTAGTACAGATACTCTCAAACCTGCTCTACTGATGCTAAATAGTTATGGGGCAGACTCAACTCTTTGTACTGAAGATGGTCTATCAGCTTTGTGTATTGCATTAGTAAGGGGTCAATTTGATGTTCTAAAACAATTGGTTAACACTGAGGATAGATGTCGGTTGATTAATTTGAACTTACATTTGTACGAGTGTCTGGTAAACATAAGGCAAGGCGCCGTTGTGACTGATAGTAAGGATGATGTGGTGGTGACACGGCAACGAGTATGGCATATAAATAAATTGGGAGATTTGTATAAAACAATCACACATGGTAAATATTATATACTGAGACATCTCTTAGATCTGGGCTTGGATTCCAATCAGATGATACAACTGTACCGTGATTTTAATAATGAGTCAGATGTTAGACCTCTGTTGTTTACACTGGTTGATGAAGGGTATGTTAATGACAGAGTAGAAAAGGTACGGATTCTCCTTGAGGCGGGGACGGATGTGAATTTCAGGGTTAGGTACAATGAACAGGATTCTACGTTAGACAGATGGGCATTTTTAAATTTGAGTTCTGCGTTTAACAAAGGAGGCGTGTCTATTTTAGAGAGAACATGGCGACTGTGAAATCATCCAGGTTTGATAGACGTAAAGGGCCCGAGTACAAGAGAGTGCTTAGTGAGGTAAAGAAACATGTGAGGCGATATTCTGTATGAATTTATATACTAGTATTCAGATACTTTTAGCGTAAATGTGTATGATAGCCTAGTGAAAAAAAGTTTATTTAAATTTTTCCATCATCTGACAAAGTTTACAGGTCATTTTTGTCTGTTTGCCGTTTAACATCTTGCTCGAGAATTTTTCACTCATATTGAAGTTTATTTTAACAAACGTTTTGTTTAATGGTTACATGTACATTAATTATATGCAATCATTATTTGATATGGATTTTAAATTTCAGTATAAATATCTCAAAAAGCTACTTCTTTTAATGTATTTGCTAAGTTTATACATGGGAACTATGATTTGAGTTGTTTATTTAAAAGTAAAATGGACAAGCAATCTTAAGCATATGTTGTTTTTTGTTCACATAGCGTCTTTTTTTAAGAAAAAGCGGGGTTACAATAAATAACATATCATTTTGCAAGCATGTTCAGATAATATATTTTTAAAATTGATTAAAACCTTTGCTCCTGGGTTGAGGTGGCGCTGCAATAAGAAATCAGATATTCATACGGAATCGCTAAGGGCTCAACAATATCATTTCATTTGTCAAGGCTTTAGTTCATTTCTGCACTCAATTTCTGCAATTTTATTAAGATAGTAAAGATCCCAGTATGACATCATGACAAGCAGCACATCCGACTTAAGCATTAAGACTGACAAGAATTTCACATGTGTATTTCTTCTGACAAGATCTTCCTTTGGGTACCAAACTAACACATTTGACATTTTGGACAACCATCAACAATGAAGGATATGGAGCTAACGAACAGTATTCAATATCAAAGTCCATAAAACAATACAAAATAGCAGCAGAGAAGTAAATTAAGATAACGAACAGTAATCAGTCTCAAAGTTCATAAAACAATACAAAATAAGAGCAGAGCAAACACGGACCTCCCAAACATCAGAGGTGGGATCAGGTGCCGTGGAAGAGTGAGCATCCCCTGCCGTCCTGTCAAACCCGCCGTATGCTCCTTGTCATGATCAGGAAATAACGGAAAAATCAGTCGTGAATTCAGTGTAAAAATAATAGACTAACAATTGGTATAAAAAACGTCAGTCAGCATTTGACTCAATGAGAAATTGTATTTGCTGACAAGGTCATTGTATCGACCATAGAACTTACGAAATTATGACTTTGAAGGAGACTGCTGATATTCTTGTTTCATCAACTTGTCAATAATTTTCGGTTTAAAAATTGTTAATACATAGAGCATGCTCTTGCGTATCGAATCAACTGAAATATATAAACTCTATATGCAGGTGATGAAGGTATATTTTTGCACAAATAAGGGAAGTAGTTAGTCATCATCTTTATCATAGAGCTTGGTTGTTTGATTACCATTAACGTCTTTTTTTCAAGTAAAATATCAAATATGGGATATGAAACAAATTTGTCAGACTCTTTGGTATCTTTTATCTCAAGCTCACCAGGATATGTTGTATCGACATAGGAATGGAAATTACCATTGTTAATTAACAGTTCGTCTATATATCTAAATATTGAGTTAAAGGCCACAGTAACTGTTTTCTTCATCTCATGCATAAGATTTTGCAAAAATTCTGCTTCATATGAATATAAAAATCATCAAATTTGTCAAAATCACTAATTCCAAACTCATCAGAAAGATTTTGTAACCCTGACATTGTTCAGATATCCAAAACCTATTAATTATCGTTTCCAATAAAATTTCACTTCTGCTCAATCTGGGAATAAACGCGCAAATGAACTGGAAGTAGGCTTACATATCTCGCATGATACCCACGTGACTTGTTGATGAAGGAGAACAAAAAGCAGTATGGCATCTTTCTACCAACAGCACAAAAAACACTTATGTGCAACAAGTTACCAGATTTTTCAAAGACTTCAACAAGTACACAACTGACCTAACATTCTACATTTGGAAATTTTACTTGAAAAAGACATTTACATGTAACGGTCTGTTTTATTTCACATTACTGAGAGCTTGCACCAAGACCTGAATACTGTTCTCCATTTGATTTGAAAGAAGCAATAACATATATTTGCAATTTTCAGCAAGAATATATTTTTTCTGTTTATTTTTTTTATTTTTAATATTTCAGAAGATCAAACAGCAACTCAGAGTAAAGTACAATAACAAACCTTATATTAAAATACATTTCAAAGTTTTAAAGATGTATTAAAATTTCAAGCTTTTTTAGTTGAATTTTTAAGAAAAATAACATACAGGCAAAGGCTGCAAATTTTTCTTCAAACATTTTTAATCAATTGTTCATTAACGTGGACAGCTAGTAAATATACCTATAAAACAATTAAAACTTTCATCATACTCTGTTTCTTTGTAACACAAACAAAATGTCACCTTATTCAAAATAAATTACTTAAAAAGATATATGCATTAATAAGACAAGAAAACAGTTTCTATTTCAAAGAACAAAAGATGATTCACTTGAATATTTTAGCACAGCTTACTATGTATAATTATTAAAAAGTAAGATCTGAAGTTAATCAGCTGATTTTGTAGCAAGAAATCCATTATCCTGCATTTCAAAAAGTCAACATGGTCACCAGAGGTAAGTTCCTCATAGAATAAATTAAGAAAAACAATGAAAAACAATCAATAGTTGTAGTATATGCTGCCTGAACAAAGAACCTAACATTATAAATTAATGCAGATATGAACATAAATGTTTTGTTGAATTCCACGGGAAACGCTACACTACAGATCCTACATGTATAATAAGTGGTGACATATTGAAAGGGAATGGTAAGTTCTACAGAATTATCACACACAAAAATACTTTGCTCAAGACTAAGTCCTGCGTTGCTGTATCCTTTATTTTAAACAATCATGCAGCAATCCATGCATGTTATGAACATGTATGGAATGAGGTTCTCCAATTGATTATAAGAAACAAGGAAAAGTTTGACAACTTATCAATCACGAACCATAAAGAAATGATATGCAACACAGATTGTTAGAATATCGTCAAAAAGATTCCTGACTTTGGATTATCTATGAAGGCTGATTCCATCCTAATTAAAATGTAATACCATGAATCCCTCTGCATAATTGCCAACAATAAAAATATATTAGCAAGCTATATAAAAGATATATTTGAAAACTAGGAGATTTCACAAAATACATGTAGTTTCAACACTCTCGTATATTAATACATGTACATCATATTTTCAAGCAAAATTGATACGATTTTATTATCATAAATAATAGGGATTTAATAAACACTATACATGTATTTTTAATAAAAATCCACACAAAAATTTAAATGTTACATGTATTCAATAGAAGTAGAAGTTAATGCACATAAGTTACCAACTTTCTATTCTGTGGGAGATGTACAGCTGGACATCAACATCTCAAATCCAGCTACCTTGAATATACTATTGATTTACAGTATTTAACACTGTATTTACCACTGTAGATAGCTGGTTTATTAATTTGTGTGTCAGTCACTTCATTTCTAACTTTCATTTTAATGGACAATTACCATGATTACTTACCTGTAAATAAATAACGGTATACAAATATACAAAATTATTATATAATCTTTTAACAAGCAAAAACAAATAATTTAAATATTTACTGATTAAAATCTACAGAAATAAGTGAATGTCCAATGGTAAAAAAAAATCGACTCTTATTCTCTCTTTCAACACCTCTCGCTCTCTCGTTATCTTTTAAAAAATATATATATATGCTGAACCCTATATTAAAATCCATCATCAAGTATTGGATTGGGTGGGACCATCTTCTTTGACGGTTTCACTTGTTCCCACACTTCCGTTCTGTATACAACCAGATGGGGAGAAAAAATTGTTTGTTTTATACACAAGGTTGTCAGGCTGGTCTAGCTTCTCCTTCGCGATGTAGATGTCATTTTCTATGGCTTGTATCAACTCATCTAGAAATGTAACAGACTGTTTTAAAATCTATCACCAAGACATAAATCTCGCTACTTAAATCTCCCTGTTATATTTTAAAAACTACCAAAAATTCATGTGATACTGTCACAGTAAGATATTTTTAAATGATGAAAGTTTTTATTTTGAATTACTCTAAACTTTCTGCATGGAAAAAATATTTCTAGTTTGCAAATTTCTAAGCAATAATAAAAATAAAATTCTTGAGAATTTCATTCTAAGCTCGATAAATAAATCATACTATGTACTTGTGTAGACCTCCCCCTAGATAATCAGATAATCCCAGGAGAAGTCTTATTATTATTAATAATAAATTATGGCACATATTTGCCATGTACATCAAAGGAAAGATAATCTAAAATTACATGTATAGAACTGTCCATAAAACTAAATCTAACTAGTATTTAATCCTACTAAAACATAAATAATAATATCATTTTATCCCATGTTTACATATTTATCCCGTGGATATACCTCATGGGATATCGTTTTCATATCCCACAGTTATGACGTCACAATGGTTTTTGCGTTAGCAAGAGGAAGTAAAATATTGCAGAGTCCTAGATAAAACAGTGTTAAACATCGGTTGTGAAGTATTAAACATGGGATAAAAAGAATCTCCCATGCTTTGTAGTTGAATATGTTTTTATCCAACTCGTGTGTTTATATCAAAATCGCACAACTCGTTGAATAAAAATCATAGTCCAACCTACAAATCATGGGAGATCCTATGTCAATATGGTAGCAGCTATATCAGAAAAAAAACATTATATAACTGTAAAAGATTTTGCATTTTTTCTGCAAAAGCTAGGACATTTTAATTCCTATACAAATAGCAGCCAAAGAAAGCAGCTTTTTGTTCAAAATACCCAACATTAAAGTGGTATTTACTCAATAGCATATAAAAACAAAGGAACATTACTCACCTAGTGATGAAAAGTCCTTCATCGGACGTATGTATCCCAGCATGATGACCTTCAACTTTGACCCGTAAAAATCTTCATTAAATGTGTGCATCAGGTAGGTCTCCTTAAATGGTAAATTTGTTTAATCTCATTTTTTGTTGGAAAACATAAAAAAGTTTACAAGATGTAAATTGTAGTTTATTGAAACTGGGTATCATCATCATTAATTAACAAAATAAGTGTATTTAATCTTTGAAAATGGAAGAAAAATAGCTTAAAATATGTTATAATTATATTAAACAATATACAGCATTTCATTATGAAAAATTTGATAGTTTTCACTCATCTGATCATGTACAGAGTGTGTGTGTTCTTTCTTCTACTAATTAATAAATGTTCTGGAGGTTTGATTCTTAGTGGTTCAGTGCTTTCTGTCTTTTGCCATAAAGGATGTATTCGCTTTAACAAAAGTATTGACCTATAGGGGAGAACACTTTCCCGGAAAAAGTGACATTGAATAATTAAGCTTTATTTGTTTTTTTCTACCGTACATATGTTTAATTTTTCCAAATTTGTATTTTAGACCTAAAATTTTTTATTTACAACTTTACAATAAACCTTCAAAATTGACTGAAACACCATTTTGTCCGTTAAAGCGTTGCTTTTTGCATGAATTTTGGCCTAGAAGTCCTTCAGGGCAGGCCTGCCCCTAAATAAAATTGTGATATTTTGATAGGTTATGATGTAAGGAACGATTTAAGATAGGATTTTTTTAGGGGCACCCCTGCCCTAGTGTCGAAATTCCCAAAAAACCTACAAAAAATAAGGAAACCTGTTTTTGAAAATCTGCCTCAAATTTCGACCTGTCATTTTTATAGACGGACTAGCTCAGTTGAGATATGAGTTGTTTTTACTTCGTGAAATGCTTCTTTTTAAAGTCGCGGGTTCGAATCCACCTGGCACCACACTTTTAAAGTTTTAAATTTCGCCTTTTTAAAGACAATTCAATTTTTTTAATAGACTTGTGTATTTTCCATCAATTATCTATCGTTTATGTATGCCCATTCTTGATACAAGAAAAACTAAAGAGATGTCATATCGTAACAATCAAATGTACAGTTATCAGTCAGGCGGAACATACCTCAGTATAAGCACACTTTCTCCGAGGACAAGAGTAACTCACTATGTGTTGTTTGATACAGATATTCTTGACAGCATTGAGCTGCGTCGAATTTCAATTGTATATAATCCTTAGATTTTAATCACATTGATTTTGGCTACATATATCAGTAACTGTACTCCCTTGGATTTCATTTAGGCCTATATAATGACATTTTTTATATTATATCCACTGATAAATAGCCTAGACATAAAGAATAGAATTTCAGAGACAGTAGACATTACCATTATGCACAATGAGAAGTAAAGACAAATATCAATTATTACATTTTGAGATAACAAACTCAGAAAATCAATGAAAAGGTTTTTTCTACCTCTACTCACTGAAATAAAGATTTAGAAAAAAACAAATTGTTAAATGTATTCGGCCTAATGTCATTAATCGGAACGGAAATCGACAAGCTTTTTGTAGAGAAGAAAACCAAGCCCGTTCCTATAGGTCAGATCACTATTTATAATGAAGTGATCCTTTCTAAGTGTTTTTCTCACCATTGATTTTTTTTTTGTTTGTGTTTTTGTATTAAAATTTTTAGTGCTTTTCTCACGTTTGACTTGTCGGTGTTTTTCTAGTACAGAGTCAGTATATTTTTCTTACCATCAATTTTTTGGCGCTTTTTGAATATGATTTTGTGTGTTTCTCACCATTGATTTTTTGGTGTTTTTGTATATGATTTTAGTGTGTTTCTCACCATTGATTTTTTGGTGTTTTGTAGTACAGATTGTTATTGTATTCTCTCACAATTGATTTTTTGGTGTTTTTGTATATGATTTTAGTGTGTTTCTCACCATTGATTTTTTGGTGTTTTTGTATATGATTTTAGTGTGTTTCTCACCATTGATTTTTTGGTGTTTTGTAGTACAGATTGTTATTGTATTCTCTCACCATTGATTTTTTGGTGTTTTTGTATATGATTTTAGTGTGTTTCTCACCATTGATTTTTTGGTGTTTTTGTATATGATTTTAGTGCTTTTCTCACCATTGATTTTTTGGTGTTTTTGTATATGATTTTAGTGTGTTTCTCACAATTGATTTTTTGCTGTTTTTGTGTATGATTTTAGTGTGTTTCTCACCATTGATTTTTTGGCGCTTTTGTATATGATTTTAGTGTGTTTCTCACCATTGATTTTTTGGCGCTTTTGTATATGATTTTAGTGTGTTTCTCACCATTGATTTTTTGGCGCTTTTGTATATGATTTTAGTGTGTTTCTCACCATTGATTTTTTGGTGTTTTTGTATATGATTTTAGTGCGTTTCTCACCATTGATTTTTTGGCGCTTTTGTATATGATTTTAGTGTGTTTCTCACCATTGATTTTTTGGTGTTTTTGTATATGATTTTAGTGTGTTTCTCACCATTGATTTTTTGGTTTTTTTGTATATGATTTTAGTGTGTTTCTCACCATTGATTTTTTGGTGTTTTTGTATATGATTTTAGTGCGTTTCTCACCATTGATTTTTTGGTGTTTTTGTAGTACAGATTGTTATTGTATTCTCTCACCATTGATTTTTTGGTGTTTTTGTATATGATTTTAGTGTGTTTCTCACCATTGATTTTTTGGTGTTTTTGTATATGATTTTAGTGTGTTTCTCACCATTGATTTTTTGGTGTTTTTGTATATGATTTTAGTGTGTTTCTCACCATTGATTTTTTGGTGTTTTTGTATATGATTTTAGTGCGTTTCTCACCATTGATTTTTTGGCGCTTTTGTATATGATTTTAGTGTGTTTCTCACCATTGATTTTTTGGTGTTTTTGTATATGATTTTAGTGTGTTTCTCACCATTGATTTTTTGGTTTTTTTGTATATGATTTTAGTGTGTTTCTCACCATTGATTTTTTGGTGTTTTTGTATATGATTTTAGTGCGTTTCTCACCATTGATTTTTTGGTGTTTTTGTAGTACAGATTGTTATTGTATTCTCTCACCATTGATTTTTTGGTGTTTTTGTATATGATTTTAGTGTGTTTCTCACCATTGATTTTTTGGTGTTTTTGTATATGATTTTAGTGCTTTTCTCACCATTGATTTTTTGGTGTTTTTGTATATGATTTAAGTGCGTTTCTCACCATTGATTTTTTGGTGTTTTTGTATATGATTTTAGTGTGTTTCTCACCATTGATTTTTTGGTTTTTTTGTATATGATTTTAGTGTGTTTCTCACCATTGATTTTTTGGTGTTTTTGTATATGATTTTAGTGCGTTTCTCACCATTGATTTTTTGGTGTTTTTGTAGTACAGATTGTTATTGTATTCTCTCACAATTGATTTTTTGGTGTTTTTGTGTATGATTTTAGTGCGTCTCTCACCATTGATTTTTTGGTGTTTTTGTATATGATTTTAGTGTGTTTCTCACCATTGATTTTTTGGTGTTTTGTAGTACAGATTGTTATTGTATTCTCTCACCATTGATTTTTTGGTGTTTTTGTAGTACAGATTGTTATTGTATTCTCTCACCATTGATTTTTTGGTGTTTTTGTATATGATTTTAGTGTGTTTCTCACCATTGATTTTTTGGTGTTTTGTAGTACAGATTGTTATTGTATTCTCTCACCATTGATTTTTTGGTGTTTTTGTATATGATTTTAGTGTGTTTCTCACCATTGATTTTTTGGTGTTTTTGTATATGATTTTAGTGTGTTTCTCACAATTGATTTTTTGCTGTTTTTGTGTATGATTTTAGTGCGTTTCTCACCATTGATTTTTTGGCGCTTTTGTATATGATTTTAGTGTGTTTCTCACCATTGATTTTTTGGGTTTTTTGTATATGATTTTAGTGTGTTTCTCACCATTGATTTTTTGGTGTTTTTGTATATGATTTTAGTGTGTTTCTCACAATTGATTTTTTGGTGTTTTTGTATATGATTTTAGTGCGTTTCTCACCATTGATTTTTTGGTTTTTTTGTATATGATTTTAGTGTGTTTCTCACCATTGATTTTTTTGGTGTTTAGTGTGTTTCTCACCATTGATTTTTTGGTGTTTTTGTAGTACAGATTGTTATTGTATTCTCTCACCATTGATTTTTTGGTGTTTTGTAGTACAGATTGTTATTGTATTCTCTCACCATTGATTTTTTGGTGTTTTTGTGTATGATTTTAGTGCGTTTCTCACCATTGATTTTTTGGTGTTTTTGTATATGATTTTAGTGTGTTTCTCACCATTGATTTTTTGGTGTTTTGTAGTACAGATTGTTATTGTATTCTCTCACCATTGATTTTTTGGTGTTTTTGTATATGATTTTAGTGTGTTTCTCACCATTGATTTTTTGGTGTTTTTGTATATGATTTTAGTGTGTTTCTCACAATTGATTTTTTGCTATTTTTGTGTATGATTTTAGTGCGTTTCTCACCCTTGATTTTTTGGCGCTTTTGTATATGATTTTAGTGTGTTTCTCACCATTGATTTTTTGGGTTTTTTGTATATGATTTTAGTGTGTTTCTCACCATTGATTTTTTGGTGTTTTTGTATATGATTTTAGTGTGTTTCTCACAATTGATTTTTTGCTATTTTTGTGTATGATTTTAGTGTGTTTCTCACAATTGATTTTTTGGTGTTTTTGTATATGATTTTAGTGCGTTTCTCACCATTGATTTTTTGGTTTTTTTGTATATGATTTTAGTGTGTTTCTCACCATTGATTTTTTGGTGTTTTTGTATATGATTTTAGTGTGTTTCTCACCATTGATTTTTTGGTGTTTTTGTAGTACAGATTGTTATTGTATTCTCTCACCATTGATTTTTTGGTGTTTTGTAGTACAGATTGTTATTGTATTCTCTCACCATTGATTTTTTGGTGTTTTTGTCTATGATTTTAGTGCGTTTCTCACCATTGATTTTTTGGTGTTTTTGTATATGATTTTAGTGTGTTTCTCACCATTGATTTTTTGGTGTTTTGTAGTACAGATTGTTATTGTATTCTCTCACCATTGATTTTTTGGTGTTTTTGTATATGATTTTAGTGTGTTTCTCACCATTGATTTTTTGGTGTTTTTGTATATGATTTTAGTGTGTTTCTCACAATTGATTTTTTGCTATTTTTGTGTATGATTTTAGTGCGTTTCTCACCATTGATTTTTTGGCGCTTTTGTATATGATTTTAGTGTGTTTCTCACCATTGATTTTTTGATTTTTTGGTTTTTTTGTATATGATTTTAGTGTGTTTCTCACCATTGATTTTTTGGTGTTTTTGTATATGATTTTAGTGCGTTTCTCACCATTGATTTTTTGGTTTTTTTGTATATGATTTTAGTGTGTTTCTCACCATTGATTTTTTGGTGTTTTTGTATATGATTTTAGTGCGTTTCTCACCATTGATTTTTTGGTTTTTTTGTATATGATTTTAGTGTGTTTCTCACCATTATTTAGGTGTTTTTGTATATGATTTAAGTGCGTTTCTCACCATTGATTTTTTGGTTTTTTTGTATATGATTTTAGTGCTTTTCTCACCATTGATTTTTTGGTGTTTTTGTATATGATTTTAGTGTGTTTCTCACCATTGATTTTTTGGTGTTTTTGTATATGATTTTAGTGCGTTTCTCACCATTGATTTTTTGGTGTTTTTGTATATGATTTTAGTGCGTTTCTCACCATTGATTTTTTGGTGTTTTTGTATATGATTTTAGTGTGTTTCTCACCATTGATTTTTTGGTTTTTTTGTATATGATTTTAGTGTGTTTCTCACCATTGATTTTTTGGTGTTTTTGTATATGATTTTAGTGCGTTTCTCACCATTGATTTTTTGGTGTTTTTGTAGTACAGATTGTTATTGTATTCTCTCACAATTGATTTTTTGGTTTTTTTGTATATGATTTTAGTGTGTTTCTCACCATTGATTTTTTGGTGTTTTGTAGTACAGATTGTTATTGTATTCTCTCACCATTGATTTTTTGGTGTTTTTGTAGTACAGATTGTTATTGTATTCTCTCACCATTGATTTTTTGGTGTTTTTGTATATGATTTTAGTGTGTTTCTCACCATTGATTTTTTGGTGTTTTGTAGTACAGATTGTTATTGTTCTCTCACCATTGATTTTTTGGTGTTTTTGTATATGATTTAAGTGTGTTTCTCACCATTGATTTTTTGGTGTTTTTGTATATGATTTTAGTGTGTTTCTCACAATTGATTTTTTGCTGTTTTTGTGTATGATTTTAGTGTGTTTCTCACCATTGATTTTTTGGTGCTTTTGTATATGATTTTAGTGCGTTTCTCAAAATTGATTTTTTGGTGTTTTTGTATATGATTTTAGTGTGTTTCTCACCATTGATTTTTTGGTGTTTTTGTATATGATTTTAGTGTGTTTCTTTAGTGCGTTTCTCACAATTGATTTTTTGGTGTTTTTGTATATGATTTTAGTGCGTTTCTCACCATTGATTTTTTGGTGTTTTTGTATATGATTTTAGTGCGTTTCTCACCATTGATTTTTTGGTGTTTTTGTATATGATTTTAGTGTGTTTCTCACCATTGATTTTTTTGGTGTTTTTGTAGTATAGATTGTTTGTGTATTCTCTCACCATTGATTTTTTGGTGTTTTTGTAGTACAGATTGTTATTGTATTCTCTCACCATTGATTTTTTGGTGTTTTTGTGTATGATTTTAGTGCGTTTCTCACCATTGATTTTTTGGTGTTTTTGTATATGATTTTAGTGTGTTTCTCACCATTGATTTTTTGGTGTTTTGTAGTACAGATTGTTATTGTATTCTCTCACCATTGATTTTTTGGTGTTTTTGTATATGATTTTAGTGTGTTTCTCACCATTGATTTTTTGGTGTTTTTGTATATGATTTTAGTGTGTTTCTCACAATTGATTTTTTGTGTTTCTCACCATTGATTTTTTGGTGTTTTTGTATATGATTTTATTTTTTGGTATTTTTTTGTATGATTTTAGTGCGTTTCTCACCCTTGATTTTTTGGCGCTTTTGTATATGATTTTAGTGTGTTTCTCACCATTGATTTTTTGGGTTTTTTGTATATGATTTTAGTGTGTTTCTCACCATTGATTTTTTGGTGTTTTTGTATATGATTTTAGTGTGTTTCTCACAATTGATTTTTTGCTATTTTTGTGTATGATTTTAGTGTGTTTCTCACAATTGATTTTTTGGTGTTTTTGTATATGATTTTAGTGCGTTTCTCACCATTGATTTTTTGGTTTTTTTGTATATGATTTTAGTGTGTTTCTCACCATTGATTTTTTGGTGTTTTTGTATATGATTTTAGTGTGTTTCTCACCATTGATTTTTTGGTGTTTTGTAGTACAGATTGTTATTGTATTCTCTCACCATTGATTTTTTGGCGCTTTTGTATATGATTTTAGTGCGTTTCTCACCATTGATTTTTTGGTGTTTTTGTATATGATTTTAGTGTGTTTCTCACCATTGATTTTTTGGTGTTTTGTAGTACAGATTGTTATTGTATTCTCTCACCATTGATTTTTTGGTGTTTTTGTATATGATTTTAGTGTGTTTCTCACCATTGATTTTTTGGTGTTTTTGTATATGATTTTAGTGTGTTTCTCACAATTGATTTTTTGCTATTTTTGTGTATGATTTTGTGCGTTTCTCACCATTGATTTTTTTGCTTTTGTATATGATTTTAGTGTGTTTCTCACCATTGATTTTTTGATTTTTTGGTTTTTTTGTATATGATTTTAGTGTGTTTCTCACCATTGATTTTTTGGTGTTTTTGTATATGATTTTAGTGTTTCTCACCATTGATTTTTTGGTGTTTTTGTATATGATTTTAGTTGTTTCTCACCATTGATTTTTTGGTGTTTTTGTATATGATTTTAGTGTGTTTCTCACCATTGATTTTGTATATGATTTTAGTGTGTTTCTCACCATTGATTTTTTGGTGTTTTTGTATATGATTTTAGTGCGTTTCTCACCATTGATTTTTTGGTGTTTTTGTATATGATTTTAGTGTGTTTCTCACCATTGATTTTTTGGTGTTTTTGTATATGATTTTAGTGCTTTTCTCACCATTGATTTTTTGGTGTTTTTGTATATGATTTTAGTGTGTTTCTCACCATTGATTTTTTGGTGTTTTTTTTGATTTTAGTGTGTACCATTGATTTTTTGGTTTTTTTGTATATGATTTTAGTGTGTTTCTCACCATTGATTTTTTGGTGTTTTTGTATATGATTTTAGTGTGTTTCTCACCATTGATTTTTTGCTGTTTTTGTATATGATTTTTTTCTCACCATTGATTTTTTGGTGTTTTTGTATCACCATTGATTTTTTTGTTTTTTAGTGATTTTAGTTCTCTCACCATTGATTTTTTGGTGTTGTTTTTGTATATGATTTTAGTTGATTTTTTGGTGCTTTTGTATATGATTTTAGTGTGTTTCTCACCATTGATTTTTTGGTGTTTTTGTAGTACAGATTGTTTCACCATTGATTTTTTGGTGTTTTTGTTTATGATTTTAGTGTGTTTCTCACCATTGATTTTTTGTTTTTGTATATGTTTTTGTGTCACCATTGATTTTTTGGTGTTTTTGTATATGATTTTAGTGTGTTTCTCACCATTGATTTTTTGGTTTTTTTGTATATGATTTTAGTGTGTTTCTCACCATTGATTTTTTGGTGTTTTTGTATATGATTTTAGTGTGTTTCTCACCATTGATTTTTTGGTGTTTTTGTATATGATTTTAGTGTGTTTCTCACCATTGATTTTTTGGTGTTTTTGTATATGATTTTAGTGCGTTTCTCACCATTGATTTTTTGGCGCTTTTGTATATTTTTAGTGTGTTTCTCACCATTGATTTTTTGGTGTTTTTGTATATGATTTTAGTGTATTCTCTCACCGTTTCTCACCATTGATTTTTTGGTGTTTTTGTATATGATTTTAGTGTGTTTCTCACCATTGATTTTTTGGTGTATTTGTAGTACAGATTGTTATTTTATTCTATCACAATTGATTTTTTGGTGTTTTTGTATATGATTTTTGTGTGTTTCTCACAATTGATTTTTTGGTGTTTTTGTATATGATTTTAGTGTGTTTCTCACCATTGATTTTTTGGTGTTTTTTGTATGATTTTAGTGTGTTTCTCACCATTGATTTTTTGGTGTTTTTGTATATGATTTTAGTGTGTTTCTCACCATTGATTTTTTGCTGTTTTTGTATATGATTTTAGTGCGTCTCTCACCATTGATTTTTTGGTGTTTTTGTATATGATTTTAGTGTGTTTCTCACCATTGATTTTTTGGTGTTTTTGTATATGATTTTAGTGTGTTTCTCACCATTGATTTTTTGGTGTTTTTGTAGTACAGATTGTTATTGTATTCTCTCACCATTGATTTTTTGGTGTTTTTGTAGTACAGATTGTTATTGCATTCTCTCACCATTGATTTTTTGGTGTTTTTGTATATGATTTTAGTGCGTTTCTCACCATTGATTTTTTGGTGTTTTTTTATGATTTTAGTACAGATTGTTATTGTATTCTCTCACCATTGATTTTTTGGTGTTTTTGTAGTACAGATTGTTATTGTATTCTCTCACCATTGATTTTTTGGTGTTTTTGTAGTACAGATTGTTATTGTATTCTCTCACCATTGATTTTTTGGTGTTTTTGTATATGATTTTAGTGTGTTTCTCACCATTGATTTTTTGGTGTTTTTGTAGTACAGATTCCACCCCACTGACAGCACCATCTTGTAGACTTCACCATCGTCCACGCTACCCCAGCCGTAGTACACACCCAGGGGCATACCCGGGGGTAACTCCTCTACCACACTCTCCGGGAAGTTTGCTGAAAAAAATACGAAAAGAGAAAATATATATATAATTTACCACAATAAAATTAAATTTTATATATTTATGTATATGGTTTCAATTTTTATGCACCAGATGCACAATTCAATAAAATAATGTCTCTTCAGTCATGGTCATGCTGATTTAATAAAAACGTTTGAGATTCAAAAATAAGAAAACAACTTTATAAAGCTGAAAAGACAGAGGTGCCAAAGACTTCAGACAAACATGTCAAAGGATCATAGCTCTGCATAAGGGAGATCAATCTTAGTTTAGAAATATCATTTTCTAGAACATTGACAAAATTGTCAAATATCCTCATGGACAATTTCGTTATGTCAATATATAAAGATTTTTCAGAGGATCAGAGAGAGAGAGAGATGATTGGGAGTAAATTTTTCAATTCATTTAAAGACAGCCTTTTGTAACAGTATTACTATAATCAATAATTTGGCCAAGAATTAGAGTCATTTCTTAAATATTTCAGTCTAGAATTGTACAAAGCTCTATGGTTTAAAGGTTTCTTTAATAAAAATTATACTTTGTTTATGTCAAACCTAGATAATCCACGTTTGATAACATTTACCATGTTTAAATCAATAACTATAATATAGAGAACAGAGGACAACAACACAAAAATAATCAACAGGTCCAGCACAATACCCTAATAAAGGTATGTAGCTAAATAAAGCTATATAGCTTTATCAAGGTATTTAAAATACCTTGATCAAGGTATTTTATGTAATGAAAACTTAAAAAAATTCTTTAAAAATTAATTACTGAAAATCGAGTTCTGAGTTGTTGTCAGCAAATTCACCCATGCATGTAAAGTACTTAAACACAAACAAATAAGTATAAAAACGTGTCGTAAGAGGAGACGATATTTCATGCTTTCTTTTTGACACCAGAGTGTTTTTCATGCTCGAATAGACACACTGTCAAAAACTCAGAACTCGACTTTCAGTATTTAATTTTTAAAGAATTTTTTTGAATTTTAATTACTTAAAATACCTTGATCAAGGTATATAGCTTTATCAAGCTATATACCTTTATCGGGGTATTGTGCTGGACCTGATCAAGGACATAAAAAAATAAGCAAATTGTTTCTTGTCGTATTAATCAGTAATCTTTGCTTTAATAAATACATAAATGAATACACATCCTTGTTTTACCCTAAACACTCAGACAGTCTGCTAAGACTTTTAATTAACTTAAATGTTAGATCTATTCAAAATTGAAATTTTTTCGTCATAAAAAGTGAAATATTATTTATTTCTTTGTGGCAACCAGATATCCTCCCAAAAATTAGGTCTCCGTTTAAAGATTTAAACGTAAGTGTGACATGGACCACTGCTTTCCAAGAAAATCTCCACCCCTGGTATACCAGGAACTGATACAGCCATAGAAAGGTCAGTAAATGGGATCAACAGTTGTCTTTCTTTGTCTCCCATCCTTTCTTAAAATCAATAAGAATCAAACAAAGAAACAAAATACATAGAAGTAGACACTTTTCTTGTCACTTCCTATCATTTTCTGACCAAAAATAGTGTTTACATAACTCACAAAAATATCAGCTGAACATGTTTTACAACAACTTATGTGTACATTCATGTTTACGTTTCGGGCACCTGCTTTACAACCTACCTGTGGGTATCCCCAGTTCCTTGCTGCCCCTCCCGAACCCCTTCACGACTTCTCCCTCCGCGAAATGGGGAAGCTTCATTGACATCACGGAATGTACTGCTCTTCTTAGAAATCTCGTGTATGTCGTAATCCTCATTGAATTAATGACATCGGGTATTTAGTGAATGCCGAGCCCGATGCAAAAGTAAATTTTCTTTATTCCCAGCGAGTCAAAAATGAATATTTGATTGAGTCAAATAAATGTCATATCGATACAGCATGCAGAGATCCAATATTACATGTATGTTCACCTGGGGGAGTAGGGTAGGCTCACCTAAAGGTTGTCATAGGACCGCATGATGCAATATAATTATTTAAGTTGGACCTGAGAGGGGGTGGGGGTAAATGAAATAAATCATCAAATCGATCATGAAATTAAATTGACTTATTAATTATTAAGAAAGAAATAATGCAATATTTTTCAGATTATGAAAAGATGGATTAAGCATATGTCTATCTATAGAACAAAAATTAAACGAATATGGTTCGTGCACACTGAGGAGAATTGACTATTAAAATTCTTTGCCGTGACTGATCTTTTTTAATTTGAGTACATTATTGAAAAAGTCATTTACAAACTAACTAAAACACTCATTAAAGTCATATCTTTGCAGTGCGAAATGTAATACTACATCATCATATTTTATTTGGTGATGCATTAAAACACATCGAATTGATGTTAAAACTTATGAAAATCAGTCAAACTTGTTCATTTGCCTAAAGAATATCTGAGTATTTTGACAATCTTTTTTCTTTAAAGCTAAAAATTATATTTAAGGTTGACAAAAACACGTACGTTATTATGGCTGACCAGATATTAAATATACATGTAAGTAATCAAAATGTAACAATATAAATCAACTTTTTTAACACATATACCTCAATTTTTGGAATTTTTATTTCCAATCATTTTCATTAAGGCAACTTTGACTGTGTATGTATGATTGATTGTATATTGTTTAACGTCCCTCTCTAGAATTTTTTCACTCATATGGAGATCAGGGACATAGCAATAGGAGGGGGTGCAGGGGGCCTGCCCCCCACTTTTCCCCCCAAAATTACATGTACCTTTACTATTGTAAATGTACATTAAAAGGATGGTTGCACCCCCCCCCCCATCACTTTTAACCGTAGTATAGAAATAACAAAGAATTATAGGGAAAATATTGGAAGTGAAAGGACATCGGCTTTGAAAAAGTTGGCTACTACTACCGCTAAGTGTAAAAAAAAAAAAAATTATGCCTCCAAAAATACCTGGCAAGCAAAAAAGAATAAAAAATAAGGATATGTCCCACACACGAAAATGCTATTTCATGGGGGGGGGGGGGGGGAGTTAGGTTTGCTTTCATGGGTTTTGGTTTAGTAATGAGGAAGAGTCAATCAAGTACTTTGAATCATACATCAATATTTTTATGTCTTCGAACTTATTTAATATCTGAAAAAAAAAATAACAAAGTTTTACATGTGTATATACACTGTATTATTATCGACGAATCGTCACTAATCATGAGATTTTAAATCGTCGGGATCGTCATTCAGAAATGACTAAAGCACGAAATTTTTCTCGCGGGAAAAGTCAGCATGCTGTGAAGAAGAACTTAGCACACTGACAGGTAGGAGATATTGTGTTTAGAAACATCATCATCATGAAAGTACTTACAGATCTCTATACATTCGTGAACTTTGTGGTTTCTTCATCATAATCTTGCTACTCTTGCTCATATCTTTGAACAGTTTCATCAAGAACATTAAATTTTTGAGCAGCATCTGATAATCAGTTTTCTCTTATATAATTGCGTAAGTTTTCAGGGATTTATCTAACTATATTGTTTTACTACCGCTTTATATGTTAAAGGGAAAATGAGAGCCGCAGGCTCGATCTCAGCGCCGGTGTAACGTTGAATATTGACCCAAGTTGAAAATTGACCCGGGGGTCATTTTTCAACGTTGAATATTGAACCGGGGTCATTTTTCAACGTTGAATATTAAGACCAAAAGTCGTTGAATTTTTACCCGGGGTCATTTTTCAACAGATTGATAATTTTTTTCTTAGATCTGATGACATCAACAAGTTGAAAATTGACCCTGTTGAATATTGACCCCACCTCAAAGTTTGAACATTTTTTTAGCTGGGAAGTTGTTTAACGGGATTTATCATGCAATATCACTTTTTTGTATTTCTGTTTCAATTTTTTCCCTTTCAAGAAAAATAGAAATAAACATACAATATCACCCCGTGTATTTATGTACATTTTGATAAGGCCAAAAAAAAAAATATGTGTGTTTCCGGTAACATGTCCCTCAAAATTAGGGTAGGTAGGTAGGCAATTACTTTTTTTTTTTACTTTTACTTTTTATTTTAACCGAACATTATATTTGACTGTTTTTAGGTAAACTGTATATGATATTAAATATTAACAAGTAATATTTTGTTTTCTAGAGGTAGATAGCAGAACAAATTGCAAGAGATTGATTTACAGAAAAGACATTTGAATTTTAATCACAATTAATTCAATAATGAAAATTTGTCACATTTAACAAAAAAAGTAAATTAAAGAATTCAAGATTGTTTTTCAGGCCTATACTTCTACCTTGACCTCATTGTCATTACATGTAAAGGCAAAGTTAATATCCATATCTTTCAAAGCCAATAATGTCACAGTTAAACTGCCGTTGTTTAAGCTTCAAAATTATCTTCAAATAAATTTCCCATAGTCCAGTGCCAAAGAAAGTTATATATTGCAGTAATTTCATATGAGTGTGGACATTTCTTGAGCTTAAACCCAATGACAACATGTGATGGACTTAGAGTTCAGTGATGCACATATAAGATAAGTGATGCAATACATCTGGGGCCACAATTTGACACACTATAGCCATATCCCTGGAGTGTTTGCCTAGTGGCTGCCCCTTACATTACTTTAAATGAATTGGATTGGATTTTAAAACTGAACTAATCATGCTAATAGGGGTCAAAATATTTCTTTTATGCAATGTATTATATATCATTCATAATAATGGATTCATAATAAATTAAGTTTTTCTTATATATTTACAGAATTTTTTTTTTTTGTAATTTTCTATAAATAAATAATTCAGGTGAAGGAAGGTGTAAATCGCAAAATAGATATTTAAACAAATATGCCAAAATTGTCTTTAAAAACTATGAAATTTATGTGTGATGATATAATTAATGGTTAAATTATTATTTATTATCTATTTTATAAGTTTGTTTCCTCAGAAAGCAATGTCAATCTAGTCAACAAATTTTCAAACTTGCGTGATAAAACTTGATTTCTAAACGTTTTTGAAAATTTTAATGATCAAATTCTATTAAAATAATTATTTTCTACACCTTTACATTTATAAATATGTGTAAAATGGAAGATATCCTCTGAATTTCTGAGAAACAGGTAACAAAATCGGCACTGCGCGGTCCCGAACTTCACAAAATTTTCGTATCTTATATTGAATTACACGTAAAGATCATTATGATTATCAAACCTTTCAAGAAATATGTAGTTGATAGCTTGAATTTCATGTAATGCTTTACTGGATGAGAAGATATTGCGTATTGACTGAGTTATATGCTCAAAAACCATCGTAAGTAACAGTCCGCCATTTTGAATTTTGGTGGGACTTTCCGAGATTCTTATGTTTTTTAACACAAGTAAATCATGTGATTTCAAACTTTAGTATGATGCAGTCATCTATTGTTAACATGCATGTGGCCGCCTGTGCTCTGATAATTTTATAAACAAGCGGTAATTTCAAGTCAAATCAACAATGAAAATATACACACGTGTCAACATGTGACCAAAAGTCTTATTAAAGGTTGGACGTTAAGTGTCAAAAGTCCTCATTAAAGCGTAAAGGAGGGAACAATCTAAGGGGAAAAGAGCTATTATATACGCATGTATAATCTTAAAATGCTTGAAAAGACGTTTTTATTTATTTGTTACAAGTGCCTTTTTAACTGCGCGCGTTTTGAAGACTGTAGTTTTAGAACAAATTACGGTACGTAATCCGGATTTGCAATAAAAAGTGCTAGGGTCGGCGTGTAAAATTAGGGTCGGTCGGGATACCGGAAACACAGGTATTTTTTTTTTTTGGCCTAAGTGCACGATTTCAGATATCTTCAAACATGACAACATTATTTTTGAAAATAATTTCCAAAATCCATGGCATCCATAAATAACTACAAAACAACAAATAGGACAAAAACAAAAATCTTAAAAATCTGCTTTCTAGAATGTGAGCCCTATATATATATTGATCAGGTGGGTGGAACATCCCATCAAGTCAAATTCAGTATAAAAATAACAAAATTAATAGCCTAAAAATTAGAATGAAACACATCGACCAAATGATTCCAATGAATCAGATATGTTATAATTGTGAAGAAGAGCAATATTATAGCGACCATAGCATGTAATAAGTTACGTTGACTTTAAATAAACTGTTGAAATCCCTGTAACAATGAACTTATTTGTCAGTAGCCTGTCTCGGCTTGAAAATTGATCGCTTTCGGACCATAACCTTGAGAATGAGATTTTTCTTTATTCTATGCAATGTGATTCCTATTTGATTACTTTTTATTTCTATTCCATTAAAATGTTATTTGTAATTTGTATTCGACAAATTGCTTTTCCAAATACAGGAAATGTGACAATATGATTCACATATCATAAAATTTACATATTTTTTCTAGAAAACACGCGTTTCGTATTCGATGTCATTAATATTTAAAACAATTGGTTACTAGTCGCTTATGTTGTCATTCCTATTCTATAATTTAATCTTTTTATTCGATAATTATTTGGTTTAGTATATGCAATAAAGTTGTTCAAAAACATACTAGCATCCATTTCTATTCCAAAAAATACGACTCCTATTCGATAAACTTCTCATCTTATTACATAATTTTATCTCTATGATCTCCCATGCAATGTTTTTTTTTAAAAAAATCTTTTTAAATAATTGCCATGATTGCATTCTGGGAAATATGACAAATTAAACTAGAACTGTTTGTAAACTTAATTTAATAGGAATGTAAAGTAAATTAACATTATTATCGAATATGAATAATTTTATCACATAGATTGACAA